CCAAGCCACGCAAGAACAACACAAGCCAATATTTGTCCGTTTGTGTTCGGTTCGTTTTGGCTCAAAATACTACTAATCAATTATATATATATATATATATATATTTGATGAATAGTATTTTTTAAAAATTTAATTGTCTACAAGGCTATTTTTTTTCCAGCTTTAATAACTATTTATAAAAAAAAAATTTAAATGTAAGAAGTTTTCTACTTGAGCTTTTGACCTGAGATTGTTGCTAGCTTTTACCCCCTTTTTTTTTCCTAAAACATGAGGACTGTTTGTAAGTATGATCGTGTATTGTGGCACAAGATTATATGCCTAATTTTGTGAAGCCTCCTTGCAATGTAAACAACATATAAACATGCGTTGACGTGGATGCATGAAAAAATTAACATTTAAATTTTGGTGTTCGGTATGTAAATAGATAAGAATTGAGTGGTAGACATGAAGTTGCCACAACGCTTTAAAATTTGAGGTTTGCTTGTCTTTAAGTTGCCACAACGATTTAGAAAACTTAAATCATGATCGATAGACATCAATATTCTGAGTGTCCACAGAGCAAATAAAAAGTGGAATTGTTCTACAGAGCAAATACTGCTTCAGGAAAGCCCCCAAGCAACCACTAGAGAATAAGAAACACGTCTGTTAGCATCAGCTCTGGGGTACAGGGAAGACAAATGTTTTCCAGAGTGTTGATCTCCTCGATCTTTGGATCTTCGGCGAAGCGGTGTAGGGTAGATTGTAATCGTTTGATGCTGAGTAGAACGAAGATAGGCCCTGGGCAAGCCGGTTTAGTCCAAATGAAGAGAATAACCCTTCTCCACAGTGTCCGCCTCGAGTGGAAGTTCCTCGAGCGTCTGGGATCAAAATAAAGCAAGAAAATATAATATTAAGCAATTTATATTAATTATTCAATAGATTTTTGTTCTCCTAGAGCAAGTTCTTGGCTCAACATATGCGTGTGTATAAATGCATAAATACAATTATACATAGTATTTATATTCTAAGCACATGTTGAACTAGTTCAATTCAATAAAAGCTTAAATCAAAATCAGCCAGAAGATCCAACTGCGCCAAAAATTTAGATTTTATAGTTAAAATAATAGACCCAAGCAATATTGGATCTAATAGTTAAAATGATAAACCCAAGCAATGATTTTTAGTAAATTGCAGTCAGATAGAAGAAATACCTTGTAGGCCTGCTGCAGAACCCCAAGTGTTTCTCTTATCATTTTTCTCTTTGCAGCTATATCAGCTGATTCTCGAAACAAGTCATCTAAAACATCATCTCTGGTTTAAGAAAAACAGACATTAAATGTGCTTAACTTAGTTAGAATTAGTCTAAAATCATAAAAACATAAAGGACAAAATCATGATGAATCTAAGATGAATTTCTTAAACAATTAATTAAAGATTATTTTGGCAATTACCTAAAAAGTTTCAATATACAAATTTCGTATAGCTCTCTTTTTGTATGATTAACCTAAACAAGTGGACAAGTCGTTAGTTATTAGAAAAAAATTTGAAGGGAGCAAGATATACAAGATATATAAAAAGTTCAAAATCAAATTGGTGAAAAATAACCAACCAATATCACAAAAGCTCAAGATAGCAACACAACATTCATAGAAGTAAACTTGTATTACAATTTATATGAACATCAATGCAAGGATCCCATTAAAAAGAAGAGAGATTTGCTCTACAAAATAATGTTTCGAAAGTTAGTTTATGTGCTTTTGAAAACTCTTCAAACAACATCAACTCGCTCATTGACAAGGCGAAGAACACCCAAACTAGTTAAAAAAAAAATTCAATTTTATATACAGCTTTTTCTACTAAGCCACTTTCATTAAACAGTAGACACGAGGGTCGGTTATGGCACTTGTCCAAAAAGATAACCAGAAGGTACGACGATTTTTCTTGTTAATATTACATGCCTTGATCAGTACAAAATCAATCCACAAATAATAAATCAAATGAGTGCTTAACAGATAAATAAAACAAGACAATAATTTATCAAACTCGCCTAGTTCAGAGCATAAAAAAGTTGAATCCATGAAAAACCCCGTGCATAAATGAAAGAAAGGGGCATTTACATGCATACCACCAAATTCTTATGCATTTACATATCTACAACCTAAACTTCGTTTTTTATATTCTTACCACCCAAATTTTATATCACATCAAAAATATCATTATTTTAACTTAACAAAAGTGAAATACTCGCATAGGTAGGGTGGCATATATTTAGAAATTGAAATTTAGGTGTTAGGTAAGTAAATAAGAATTGAGTAGAATGCATGTAAGTTTTCCAAAAAAAAGACACTGAAGTTTCAAGGATATAAAAATAGCAGAAACATCAGCTAAATCCATTACAAATATACAAGCTCCGCCCAGCCTATAATTATGAAACACTTCTAATATGCAATTTTCATCTTGGAAAGCAGTAGATCCACATATATATATCACAATTAAAGCAGCAAAAATAACAATAAATGAAATTCTGACTATCATTAGTATAAGCTATAAGACAAGAGGACAGAATATTCTGATTCTACATAATAAAATGTTAAATAAATTACCAGTAAGTGCATAATTGACTTAGTCACAGTATCTTCAATATTTTTCCTGGCGATATCATAATACGATTTCAGTAATAATTTTGCAATGGAAAACTCCAAAGCCTCCTGCTCCGACTGATATTCTGAAGGCTTCAAGATGAATGGAGGCTATATTGTAGCAAACCGCAGTTTAGAAGCTGTAAGAAAGTAATCTAATTGCAAAACTTGAGCGAACATTGAGTTTAATAGAACACTAACCTCTTGTGGTTGAATCCTGGAGATTGAATGTTCCACATTGTGAGAAGGAACAGTAGCAGACTTATTGGACGAGATTTCTTTTGCTGGTGCACGGTTCTTACTAACACCAAAAATGGACAAAATGCCGCCAATGTGTCCAATTCCTCTCAAACTTCCTGAAATGTTTGAAATTTTATATAGCATATAAAGATGATTCTGTGCATAAAATTAATTGATAGATTCATATATTTTTTTCTCAATGGATTACCAGCTGAACCAAGTCTGTCAGAATCTGAAGGTGGTTGCACTCCCTGTTCCAAATTTACATAAAAGAAAAATGGATTTTATAAGATCAATGAAACCCTCTAAATTTACCAATTTAATTACCAAAACATTGGTAAATAGTGATACAATAAAATATAGGAAATTTTTTTTTGATGGCACAGTTAAGACTTAAATACTTCTTAGACACTTGAGCATAGAAAATGACTTGAATTAACTCAAAATGCAGCTCTCAATGGGGATAATTTGAACCCACTCAGTGACAAATGCTTGTTTTTGTTGTTGTTGTTGTTGCAGCTCTCAACGGGGATAATTATAGCTCTTAAAACAGATGGAAAGTATTCATAAAGTCAGCCCATAATATTTAAAGTAACATATTATGAAAGCAATATCAAAACAAAGGGCTCATCAAAGCCTGATCATGAAGAGCTCCATTTTCTTCAGGCATAGTAAGGATGAACGCTATTGGATCAAATGACAAAGACATTGTTGAGAAAGAGATGACATTTTCCGGATGAAATGAACATTTGATTCATGTAACAGGAGAAAGATTCCCCATTCTTTAGTCGTAAATATATGTGCCCATGAAAAGGGGGATTAAATGGAACAGAATTGATTGGATGGTAGAGTCGTGGAAACACTTATTTCTTCCATCTTTTTGGCCTTAGCTCCATGGAACAATAAGTTGTTGTTGAAACATAGAAGAATTGAAATCTTAGATCACTATGTGGATGATATGAACTGTCTAAACAGTATATCTTGAACAAGCGAAAGAGCCTATTACTTGCTACATCAAACAATTTCTATTACAGTTCTCACTAACACCAAAAATGGTTCTCACTAACACCAAAAAATGGATGAAATGCCCCAAATGGGTCTACTTCGGCCTGAACTTCCTAAAATGTTAGAAATTTCATATGGTATATAAAGATGATTCTGTGCATAAAATTAATTGATAGATTCATATAATTTTTTTTTCTCAATGGATTACCAGCTGGACCAGGTCTGTCAGAATCTGAAAGTGGTCGCACTCCCTGTTCCGAATTTCCATAAAAGAAAATGGATTTTATAAGATCAATGGAACCCTATAACTTTACCAATTTAATTACCAAAAAAATTGGTGATCAATAATGCAGTAAAATTAAGGGAAAATTTTTTTTGATGGCACAGTTAAGACTTAGATACTTCTAAGACACTTGAGCATAGAAAATAACTTGAATTAACTCGAAATGCAACTCTCGATGGGGATAATTTGAACCCACTCTGTGACAAATGTTTGTTGTTGTTACAACTCTCAGCGGGGATAATTATAGCAGAAGTATTCATAAAGTCAACCCAAAATATTTAAAGTTACATATTATGAAAGCAATATCAAACCAAAGGACTCACCGGAGCCTGATCATGAATAACTCCATTTGCTCCAGCCCTAGCAAGGATGACACAAGATTTTTGACTTTTTTCAGATACTTGTAACTCATCACCATCTAAACCATCCTGGCAAAAAAATCTTAAATATTTTACAAAAAAAGCAAACATATGAAAGAAAAGTCATGCTAATTCGCATAGAACATTAAACAAGAAGATTTACTATAAAATAAAAAATAACATACATAAGTGTCACATCAACGGCAACATAGAGTCCCGACAGTTAATTATTTATAAGCACAAAAAAAAAAATAGACGAATTTAACATTAATATTTAATAACTAAATTGTCCCATACTGAGCTGAAACAATTGAAGCAATTATCATAGCTGCTTGATTATGCACGTTACTAAAAATGACTTTGAACACAAACGATACTTATTTACAAAACTGATATTAATGAATCATCAGTGCTGAGCAAGTAATCAAACTTTGCTAACTAAATAAATTGAAACTAGTAAAATCAAACTTTAATTAAAATATTCTAAGTACAATAGAAGAAATTTTTTAGCTAAAATAATCAAGAGAAAAGTACCTTGGGTTTGGAAACTGATGCTGCTAACCTCGAAGCTTTGACTTGTTGTGCAATCTCCATAGCCTTCTTTCTTCCAATAAAATTTGGATGTGAAATGTCTATACAATCCATCTGCAAAAATTTGCAGATCAGAATGGCAACATGGACAGAACTTTCTAAAATCATTAAGAGGAGTTTTCATTCATACCACACAATTCCTATATATTTACATTCATACCACTCAAATCCTTAACATCACATAAAAAATATCCCTATTACTTTCAAAGTGAAATACACCTTTTCATGCATAGGTTTATAACATGAAAGTGTTATAAATATTAATATCAAAATTTAGGTATATGTAAATACATAAGAGTTGTGTGGTACGTAAATCTCCCAAATTTTCAATGTTTAAATAATCAAAAATAGAGATTGTGAAATCAGATGCAAGTGTTGCAGCAGTATAAGTCTGAAATGCATACAATTACTACTAATGAAGAAACTTGGTAATATATATTTGTTAAATTAAATGATCGGGTTCTTTTCCTTTAGGCAATTAAAGCAAATGCAATCTTATCACAACATATTAACACTGATAAATTAATCAAATACCTCCATTTCAATCAGATGGGTTATCATGGTTTCTGCTGACTGAAGTCTTTCTCGTAAGAAATTTCCAATTACCTTGACCATGCGCTTCCGAAGAACAGGATATTGATGGAGCTCATTAGCTAAGCTGCGACTCGTCTTAATACCATAACAAAGAAACAGATGAATTTCACTATTTCTTTGCAAACTATTGATTCTTCTTATATACAAATGGTGGATGCATCGTAACATACCTTAATCAATTCATCATGGATGAGCTTTGCACACTGGAGGCTTGGATCAAGTAAACGACCAATCTGCCTTCTTAAAAGAACTCGAAATGGCACCTAATCAGATTCAGAATTGGGGTAAACACTTCACTAAATGAAAGAGAACAATAAACAATTCAGTCTCTTCATTGTAGTTTCGAAAATGGATTCACTAGTAATTACCTCACGTACAAACAAATCACCGTTAATACTGGCATTCTGAAGAGCCATACGAATGCTATGGTCACTAAGATCCTCGCAAGGATCAACTTCCTGCAAGTAAAATGAAAATTATCATCTTTTCTTCATAGTTTTTTTCAGAAGTAAATTGCCAGTGAAATAAAATTATTGAAGAGTCCATTTAACTAGAAAATAAAACATTTAGGTTAACATTAAATCCAAAGAAAAATAAATGAAACAAAAATAAATACAGCTGTATATCCAATGCATGAATCTAATAATGATTAGCACTTTTGCATGGTCAAGAAGCAAGTCCAACCTCTAAACTCTTCACAAAAATTGACTGGAAAATATAATGAATCTGTGCCCCACCATAAAGCTCTGTTGTTGATAATTTCACATTTGCCCTCTCAACCATTGAAGTAAAAGCTGCACAAAAATCTAGCATTTAGATTAATGAAAGATGGAAGATGCTTATTGCAAGCTTCCGAATAGTTCATTATATTGTGAAAGGCATATACAAAACATTGCAGGACTTATGATTAGATCAAAAGATCAGTATTTTTTCATAGCAAGACTAAAGAATATCAAAAAAGAAAAATCACCATTACCTTCAGAATATTTCGTAAGAATTTTCAAAAACTTCAGACGCTGACCAGCCTATAGAAAGAAGTAATACAGAATAAATGGCATTTCGATGTAAAAACAATATAGAAGCATATGTTTAAGTTTATACGATCAAATATGTAAGAGGCTGCAGAATGTCCAAGTAAAATCTAGAGTAACAAAATGTCAATACCAGTTCTTTCAATGGAAAATGAAGTTATAACAATGACAGTAACTATGGAATGCACAGTTGAGTAAACATATATGTATAAGAGAAAAACTGCCCAACAATACTCTGGAATCTAAGAAAAATCATCTACGAAAGGCAAGAAAAATACCACCAAAAAGTTATATTTCATACCAGGAGAACAAATTAAACATCTTACAAGGTTTTGGCCAAAAAAGAACATACAATTTAGCAAAATAGGCACATCATCTGAGTTTTGTTTCCAGATCCAAAACAATGATGGCCCAAGACCATGGAGCATGATGAATTAAATGGATCACTAGATCTAAAAAGTTGAATTACATTTTTGCAGATAAAAAAAACATACAATTTAGCACAATAAGCACATCAACTAGTTTTGTTTCAAAATCCAGAAAAATAACGGCTCAGTACCATGGGACAAAATGAATTAAATGACCCGCCATATCCAAAAGATCAAGTAACATTTTTTGCAGAAAACTCATAAAGACTTGGACAAGAAGACAAGTGTTCCAGGGTCGAGTAGAAAGACAAAATTAGTGTCATGTTCAAAAAAGTCGAATAAACCAAAAAAAAAAATGATTACAAATTATTGAAAATGATTTGAAAAAAAATAGTTTTGATCCATCAGGCTGCACTTATTAAAACAGAATGAACAAATGATGGTTATTTAAAGCCAATACAAAATACTTGGGACAAAGCTAATGATGATGAAGGCCAAGAAAGTGCCTATTATGTGGGAGAGAAGAATTAAGGTAGTGATGATTTCGTGCTCCAGTGATGTTGAGAAAACGATCATGAATAGCAAACTAATATGACTCGTACCACTAGCAACATAAGTGCTACATTTTTTTTTTTTTCTACATCATAAGAGAGACTTAACATCCTGCTGTTATGAAAAAGAGAGCTTCGTAATGTGAGCAATGAGCATGGTAAAGATTCAGCTTCCTTAGCATAACTAAGCTTATATTAATATGAATTAAATTTTTTTGAATGTATAGCTATAAGTTTAACTTAATATAATTTATACATTTAAATTTTATAAAAAAAAGGATTAAAAATTAAAAATGATTAAAAAAATTTAAGTTAGGAATATTGCTCGGTCTGGTTCGGTTTTAAAACCGTGATAACTATTTCTCAATATATTCATTCAATTTTTGGCAGACATCCATCTTATAGAGAGAATCTGAAAATTTTATTTAATGTTATCCTCCCACAAAAGTTGTATTTGTGCGTTTCAGGTCAAAATTCAGCAAATTATTCCAGCACCATATGCCCACAATAGCTACTCAGGAAAAGCAGCAGGCACAAACAGTAATTTCAAGGAAAAAATTCTGTGATTTTAAAGGTTTATGCTACGTTAGCATAAAAGAAATGAGTGTGTATTTTAAAATTACCACAATAAGCTTACAAACTAAAACACAAGAAATATGTTCATTTAAATAAATTATGCTTTATGTAACAATCTAACTGAAATATTAAATAGCTCATTCATTTAAAACCTATGGAAAGCCTATTCACCGCAAGTAGAGTTATTCCTTATATAAGTGGGTTGCTGTCATAAGTTTATACAAAAACCAAACAAGTACCAAAATTACTTCACAAATTACTTTGTGAAGGGGAATACAAGGTAAATAAAATGAACCGCCACCACTTGTATTATGAAAAAAAACATATTGGATTTAACGTGACCTAAAGAAAACAAAATCAAGCGGTTGTTTGGGATAGTGCAAGTAATAGACCTCCCATATGAAAAAATCTACCACACCTCTAAGCCAGAATGAATTCATAATTTTGAAAGTTGAACTTCAAGATGCAACATCTAGTACCGGTCATACCTTTGATTCTACAACATCCCCATAGGCAGCATGTTCCTTTGCCACAGCTTCCAACTGGGAATTTATGCGAGACTTCAATCCTGGAAGAACTGACAAGATATGTTGCACTAAAATCTGAAGAGAAAAGAATCATTGCAAACAAATAGCAAATTGATTAAATTATTGTTAAAAACCAATAATATTACTAATGAAGAACAAAATAAAATTCAAACAGATAGCAAGTTGACAAAATTTTGTAGAGAAACAAATATTCTTAGGAATGAAAAACTAAATAAACTACAAGAAAATGCCATTAAATTGATTAGATATCAGGCTTCTAAAAGTTAAAATGTGAATTACAAAATAACAAGTTAATAACTGTTTGCAGTAAACATTACCTAGACAAAACGTATTAAGAAGATCATGGAAAGAATTGAAAAATGGAGCTCACCTGATTCAATTTCTTAGCTAATTTTGGAACTCCACAGCAATGAGAAAGACCATGATATACCTAATCAACAAGGATGTCAAGCTTAGACATGAAGATTACAAAAAAACAGAAGAAAAGCTATTAAAGCTATAGTAATTACAAGAATCAAATTCACCAAGTCGCTAATTACATACAGGTTGACATCTAAAGAATGCCTCCTCTTTGGCCAGAGCATCTTTTATGCTTCGATTTAAATTGATGTCCTGAATACAAAAAAAAAATAAAATCATCAGTAATGAAGAGCGTAGCTAAGGTTACATAGGAGTTTCACGAAGCCTCGAAACAAATTTCACAAAGAACAATTTTTTAACCATAGTGTTGCTCAATCAAAAGATTACAACACAAGTAGCACCTCAGTAGTAAAAAACAGAGAATAATATTTTATAGGAACATTTACATACATACCATCCAATACTTATTTATCTACATAAACTTTACTTCTAATATTTATACCACTTAAATCATTCATATCACATCAAAACACCACCATTTAAATTTTTAAATTGTGAAATGCGCTTTTTCATGCATAGGTAAGGTGGAATGTATGTAAAAATTGAAGTTTAGGTGTTAGATATGTAAATACATGGGAAAAGAGTGGTATGTATGTAAATCTTCCAAATTGATATTTAGCTTCCGAAAATAATCAGCTCACTTAACAAAGTCTCTTTCTAACGACGATGAAAAAGAAAAAACTTTGTCCATCAGAATTATGAAAAAGCCAAGTCCCTTTATGGTGTATACTATTGAAACAAATGGATAAATTCATCTTGCACTTCTATTTGACAATGAAACTAATGTTATGCTACTTTTACGCATTATATTAAACTATGTTGAGCCCATTGGTGTATTGAAACTGGATAGAATTAAACTTGGTGTTGAGCTGCTTGAGCCCTTTGGTGTATTGATCTGGATCAAAAAGGCTCCTCTCACACATCCTAGTCCAGGTTAGTAAGAGGATATACATGATTTGCAACACGCAACCTAGCCTAAACAAAACCAAGAAAAGTGTAGTAATCAATTGATTCAATGCATCAAAATTGAACAATTTATACCGCCACATAATTTATTATTGACAACTACAACAAAGCCTTAATTTCACTACGTGGGGTAGGCATATAATTTATTACTGAAATAATAATAAATTATTTGAAAATGGTATCCACACAAGCAAGGGGGAAAGAGGGAATAAAATTAATTATCATCATTTCTTAATTATCTCCTAAATCTCCCCCTTGCCTTCCTCAATAATCTAAATAATCTTGTTTTATAATTTAAACTTATTGAATTAAGAAATTTAGTTATAGCTCCAAAAATCTACAAAGTCATCAAGGACTAATTACTGATGGCATGGACTACATGGTCTAATGAAATTCTAAGTTTCCTCCTAGTTCTAAGCATGGCTAATTTCCTCTCGCTTCTCTCCTCTCTCCTCTCTCTCGTCTCTCTCTCTCTCTTCTCTCCTCTCACTTCTAAATCATTGAATTGATTCCATGCTAAAACCAGAATTTTCTTTCTACTAAAAGGAACACTTTCTCATGTTTTGCACGAAAATAAAGCAAGAGACACGAAGCACGGAGCCATTCAAAGTCTAACTCTCATCATATTTTTTGTTCCTTTCTCCTCAGCATTCTCTTATACACTATAAAATCAATTTATCTAACCTTTGTCTCACCCAACTAATAAAAAAATAATGGAAAAAATAAGGTAAAAGGAAGAAAAACAATGGATAAACAAGAATAAAAAAAGTTGAAATTAAAAGTAGAGAGAAAAAAGCCAGGGAAATACAAGATGTCTGATGACAGAACTGTGAAGCTCGCCGCCACTAAGCTAAAGAAGAATGATTCTTTATGTTGAGAGAATTTGAAGAGGGAGGGAGAGACGGAAAGAAGGACAAGACAATCACTTCTTACGAGAAAATGAAGCAGGAGATGCAACAATGGTTCCTACTACCACACTACCGTTAAGATATTTTCTTGAAGCTCCACCACCTACAGCATAATGAACCATCAATAGAAGAGTATACAGCTAAAGATATGCGACCTAAGTTGAAAAGTGAGCCACATGAGAAAGATGAACATATCATAGTCGGGTACATAGAAGGCCTAAAGGCTGCCATCAGCAATGTGGTCCAGCTGCAACCCTATTGGATAGTGAGGGGCACGCAGGCCTTAGTCTTGAAAGTGGAAAAACAACGGAAACGGAGCATGCAATCACTGCAAGTCAAACAACCACAGAAATTCAGGAGGAGCATGCCTCGGGGAGTTGAGCAGAACAACGCCACTCAGAGTGAGAGGAAGCCTAAAAAAACTACACACCTACTACAGTCCCAGACAAAAAATGTTTCAAATGCCATGATTTTGGAGACATTGTTTTTAGTTCCCCGATGAGCTGAGTTGATGTCCCGGAGGAAGTGAGCGAAGAGGAGACAGGTGAAAAAATTTTGAGTAGCATCCCCCACCAGATGAGGGTGAGATACTTGTGGTTCGACATGTCCTACAAACTTAGACTACAAGTGATACACAGTGGCTTCCCACAACATATTCTACACTTGTTCCACTGTGAAGGAAAATATACGCAGTCTCATCATCGATGGAAGAAGTAGCAAGAATGTGACATCTACACAGATGATGAACAAATTGAGTCTCACGACTAGAAGGCATTCTCAGCCATATTTCCTAAAGTGCATGCGCCTCATGAAATTCTCGATTGAGAACCCGCTGTCGAATCAGGTGTGGTGCAACGTCGTGCCCGTGGATGCCTGTCACCTTTTGCTGGGAAGACCGTGACAGTTTAGCCGCAATACTCAGCATAATGGATTCAAAAACACCTACTCCTTCACCAAAGACGACAAACACATAGTTCTTCTATCGTCTGTGGAGTTTGAGATTACAGGTGCCCTTGCCAGCAGAGAAGCGCCCACAGGATCAGTTTTTGTGATAACAGAGGAGAGCGAAATAAGACCTGGTTTTAGAAACTGTCCAATTAGCACAGAGAGAGTTTTAGGACTTTCTGTTAGATAGCTTACTATCATGGCCACCATCGTTTAGGAAGGTTCGGGTTGCCCTCACTTCAGATCTAGTTGAGTTAATATGGCATTATTTTGGGAGGATTATGTGTAGTATACGTCACACACTCCGAGTTCAGTTCCATAGTGTACCCCTAGAATGTTGGACGCATAAGGAGGGCTGCTCGCAAGAGAGGAAAACTCCTTGGGTGTTTGAGGAGACAGTGCAGTCGATGATGAGATCCAGGTGGATTTAGGGTTGCAATCTAAGACTCTTCAACTCCAAGATGTTACAGCAGTGTTGTCACCATCAACGTGCAAATAGAAGCCTCAACAAATGAGGTTGAAGCTGGCCCAATCTCGGGAGATTAACACGAGTGTCTCCCACTCGGGAGCAGTACGCGGGGCTCTCTTGCCTAAAACACCTGCCCGCTTGGACCGATTCGATCTAGGCTTTCTAATGTTGTGGAGTGAAAGCCGCCCTCAGACCCACTCTTATTTATTCTATTGTTAAATAAGCAATTATATTATTCTAGGGTTAGGTTTTGTCATGTTTCTATTCAGGACAACCCTCTACATCCATTTCTCCCTTTGAGGGTTATCTCTGAGAGTTTGAGTGGTGTTCCAGATGCGTCTCTTTCTTATTTTAATGATTATCTTCTCTATCCCCTTCCACATACCTCTCAGGTCACTCTCGGTCGCTCCGTACCTATTGCAGACACAGAGGCAGCTCTATAATTGTTGTTTTACTGCAATTTCCCCATTTTCAGTTGCATCTCTCTCTTCCCCGCCTTGCTGACATCCCACACAGCCGCCTCCACCTTCCCCAACCTTCCTGCATCATTCCTAGCCGTCGATCCTCATTGTCGCCGTCCAGAAAACAGCAAACTTATTGATTTCCTGTTGTCCAACCATCATTCCAATTTGTTGTTGCTTGAATTGCAACCTATCATGTTGTGCCTGCAACCCCCGCTTGCTGCCCCTGCACCAGACAACACTCTTGTTGCCTTCCCCTTTGCTGCTCCTCATTGTTCCAACCCTCCACTTCGCTGCCAACACAATTCCAGCACCTCCATTTGTTGTCCCAACAACCCACAACTCATTTCAGATGCTTGCCTCCGCTCTCGAGTAACCAAGCTGACGTTCACCACGCATGGATCGAGCTCGAGTGTGATTTTGTGTTGTGTTTGTTGTAGAACAACCCTTTGTTTGATAGTGTTCGGTTCAATTTAGCTAGAGATAAAAAAATTGTTATTTTGACCCCTAATTAATGAACTAAGATAAAAGGGCAATTTTGTAATGTGGCATCGCCACCTACCACATCTCACCTACCGCTCACCTACCACCCACCTACCTCCCACCTACCACTCTCTTGCTTCTATAAATAGAGAGGGTGTGAGGCCTAGGAGAGCATGAGGGAAGAGATCTTAAGCTACCACAAAGGAGGAGAGAATAGCTAGAGAGTTAGAGAGGAAGAGAGCATCTTGAGGCATTGTATCAAGGTGTCGCTTGAGAGGGAGGCCATAGAAGTAAGATGAGGGCTCATCTCTATGAGGTATTCTCCATTTCTTTTGCCTTAGTGAAATATTTGATTGATTCCGTCTCGTGGACGTAGATCCATTTGGATCGAACCACGTAAACGATCTGTGTTTGCTTGTGTTCTTTTTCGTCTCATTTCTATGTCAGGAAGTACATATCTCACAACAATTGACGCCGTCTGTGGGAAGAGCCATACTTCTTGGCTAGAGGTATCCGCGTAAAGGTGTTCGCGGCCAGCAACAAAGAAGAGGAGTTCGGCATTCACGAACAGAGGAGCAAGCGGATCGTGTCGCAGGCAGTCGAATCGTGACAAATTCGGTGAGCAGTGGAAGATTTGATCGACTGGATTAGCACCGCAGGTTGTGCGGTTCGGCGAGACGGAGGAGGAACTGCCCGTGAAGGAGCAGAGGAAGGCGGGTCATTCGGTCCTCGAAGAGGCAGATCTCGCGAAGGCGGAAGATTTCTGCGACAGCTAGCACACGCTGCGACAGAAGCTCGTCGCGACAGCTCCCGGAATTCAGTAGGAGCTGAGCAAAGCGGACTTCAGACGTTATTGGGGATCAAGCCACAATAATGGGTTCCGCCAAATTCGACATCGAGAAATTCAACGGTAATAATGATTTCGGTCTATGGAGAGTAAAAATGAGAGCT